AAACGGTTTAAAAAAAAGAAGAAGAAACAGAAAAAGGCTAAAAAGGTTTGTAATTTTTATCCGGTTTCAGTATAGGTACTTTTCTTTTTAAATTAACATTCTTTGCTCATAGCTTTTATTGAACTATTATTTATCTTACTATAGCAATAATTGTGTGTTGAACAAATTTATTCTTATATCCTTACTTCTCATATTATATTAATATTGAAATATAAGTTTTTTGGAACTTTACTATAGTTTTGTATGAGCTTTTAAAGATCAAATTTTTACGACTGAATATTCACTGGTAAAATAATGATTTCTCATCGAATAATTTTTCAAATGTTTTCGACAAAAATGAATTCAACCTACTGTAATAGTAAATTAAATTACTTTAATAGCAATAATATCATTAAATATTATGCTTAATACAAGCTGACAAGCCTATCGCTCATAGTCATTTTTCATATGCCATGAGTTATTAATTATTATGAATTCAAATTTAACACAGAAAACAATGACTTGCTCAATAACGAAATTGCTTCATTTTTTAGTATGACAAGTTATCTTTTCTCTATATGTTAATGTCCTAAGAGTCGTTATGATTGATTTTTAATTAATTTTTATAGGATGTGACTCATGTGGAAATAATTTCACCAAAGAAATCGAAAAAAAGGAAACAGGCGACTGGTAATGAATGTTCAGAAAACTATACTTCTCAATCAGTGAACGAAAATAAGGAGATATACGATAGTAAAGGCCACATTCGTGAAGATAGTAAAAAGAATTTTGAATTTTTCTATGCACGGGACGATGTATCGAAATGTACCATAGACGACACGAGTTTGTATTTTGGTCAATTTTGTCATAAAGAATTTAACAACTCCAATAATTTATTCAAATACGAAAATGTGCACACTGGAAAACCACCTTACGAGTGTGACGTCTGTTTTAAAACGTTTATGACAAAGTATAAATTGTGTAGGCATACAATTACTCATACTGGAGAAAAACCATACTCGTGCGACGTTTGTGGCCGATCATTTNTATTTATAGTTTTATGTGTTATCCATAATTCTCTGTTTTTTAATTATAGAAGTGTTTGTCTATTGCTGTTTGAGTCTGACTTTAAAAGCTTGACATTTAGCATCTTCTTTTTCCTATTTTTATTAACATTATATTTATCAGTGTATTTATTATGGGACAAAATAAATATTAATTGTGTATTAAAGCTAACATCTGTCAATTTATTATTACAAATTAATCATTTTAGAATTAAATGTCGAACAACTTGTTTTAGATGGCAGCTAAAGATCGTGGGTTGTCAAAAGTAACAGCTGAATACAAACATAAAAATACTAAAAAAATAGAGTTCTTAAAAAACAATATAACTGAAGATTATTCAAAAGAGATGTACAATGGTAAAATGTTTAATTTACTAGTGCCTTTCCCAAGAAAAGTATTTTAAATTTACTCTGTTCTTTACTAACACATTAAAGTCCTATAAGAAATTGTCTTTTGTTAAACAATTTTGAGTGTTATATTTCAAAAGTCTAGTATTTATGTTGTTTAATTGTGTACTGATACATGTATGTAATATAAATAAATTACATTTTGGTAAATTACAATTCTTGTGCTGGGTTTGCAGTATCTTTGTAGAAAATATAATATAATATTTGTTTTATCGCCCAGATTACATAACTTACAAAGGTCATACTTTCATTAATTTATTTGTAATTAAATGGTTGAATGTAGGAACTCAGTTTTAGTAAACAATTTTAAATCATATATTATTTCTTTTATTATTATTTTTTTTTAATCTAGAGATATTGTACAATCTGTAAAATAATCTTTTATATTATTTAAACAATAAATTCGAATATGATTTCTCTATAACATTAACCTTCAATAAGTATCCTATCATTGTGTTACTCATTTTTTTTTTATTACATTTGAGAGAAATGTAGAAATACTAAGTCAAGGTGTTTTATTCTCAAAAATTTAATCTCATTATATGACAAATAATTATGCTGTATCGTCATTTTTTACTAACCCCATACTTATATTCCATTTATATTTTATACAGATACTGCCATGACTGACACTCCTAATAATTCAAGAAGTTCAAAAGTTGTTGAGGAATATCCATTATTGTGAGTATGAAAATTGAATTAATATGAAAAAAATATGATTGCAAATATAAACAAAAAATTAATTCTTTTTCAACTATCTCATTTCAAAGCATACAAAATTGTATTGTAATGTTAAAAATTAAAAATTTTTTTTCTTTTCTAGATTTCATAAACGGTTTAAAAAAAAGAAGAAGAAACAGAGAAAGGCTAAAAAGGTTTGTAATTTTTATCCGGTTTCAGTATAGGTACTTTTCTTTTTAAATTAAGTATAAGGAAAACATTCTTTGCTCATAGCTTTTATTGAACTATTATTTATCTTACTATAGCAATAATTGTGTGTTGAACAAATTTATTCTTATATCCTTACTACTCATATTATATTAATATTGAAATATAAGTTTTTTGGAACTTTACAATAGTTTTGTATGAGCTTTTAAAGATCAAATTTTTACGACTGAACATTCCCTGGTAAAATAATGATTTCTCATCGAATAATTTTTCAAATGTTTTCGACAAAAATGAATTCAACCTACTGTAATAGTAAATTAAATTACTTTAATAGCAATAATATCATTAAATATTATGCTTAATACAAGCTGACAAGCCTATCGCTCATAGTCATTTTTCATATGCCATGAGTTATTAATTATCATGAATTCAAATTTAACACTGAAAACAATGACTTGCACAATAACGAAATTGCTTCATTTTTTAGTATGACAAGTTATCTTTTCTCTAAATTTTAATGTCTTTAGAGTCGTTATGATTGATTTTTAATTAATTTTTATAGGATGTGACTCATGTGGAAATAATTTCACCAAAGAAATCGAAAAAAAGGAAACAGGTGACTAATAATGAATGTTCAGAAAACTATACTTCTCAATCAGTGAACGAAAAAAAGGAGATATACGATGGTAAAGGCCACATTCACAAAGATAGTAAAAAGAATTTTGAATTTTTCTATGCACGGGACGATGTATCGAAATGTACCACAGACGACACGAGTCTGTATTTTGGTCAATTTTGTCATAAAGAATTTAACAACTCCAATAATTTATTCAAAAACGAAAATGTGCACACTGGAAAACCACCTTACGAGTGTGACGTCTGTTTTAAAACGTTTATGACAAAGTATAAATTGTGTAGGCATAAATTTACTCATACTGGAGAAAAACCATACCCGTGCGACGTTTGTGGCCGTTCATTTACGCAAAAACGTTCTTTGGTTGTACATTATAGAACGCATACTGGAGAAAAACCATACTCGTGCGACGCTTGTGGCCAATCATTTACGGAAAAAGGTACTTTGGTTTCACATTATAGAACGCATACTGGAGAAAAACCATACTCGTGCGACGTTTGTGGTCGATCATTTACGATAAAATGTACTTTGGTTGCACATTATAGAACGCACACTGGAGAAAGACCATATGCTTGTAAAGTTTGTGGTAAAACATTTGCACAGAAATCTGCCCTTATAAGTCATCATAGATTGCACACAGGTGAAAGACCATATGAGTGCGGGCTGTGTGAAAAAAAGTTTATAACAAGCAGTAGACGTTTAAAACATACACGGAATATACATGACAAATGTTTTTAAATTTGTTTCTATTATTAACGATATTTTAACCTATGGTAGTCTGCTTGTTCCAGTAAAGAACCTATTGCGATTTGCAGCTGTATAATATAAAATTAAGGATTTTCTTCTCCGTACGGATAATATATCGATGTGACTGAAATTTGAAAATACATAATATAAGTAATAAATTTAAATAATTTTTATTTCGCATAGTAATCGTATTAAAAAAGTGTTAAATTTAGTTTGTTAAAAATTATGTATTAATATATTTCATCACTAGCTTCATTAAAATTAGACGTTTTATTTGTATGTTATTTATATATAAGCAATTACATTATCAATTCTGGAAGCATTTGGTTTATGAGGTTTATTATCCTCTCCACACTCATTCCCGAAAACTAAAACATATGTATTCATAATTATCATATAAACATTTAGTAAAAATTGAAATTATTTACTATTATTAGTTTTTGAGTTATACCAAAGGGATCACATGAGTTGCGTCCGGTAAAAAAGGTATACACGAATTGCGTCCCAAAAAATGCAGGATGCAATTCGTGTAATTAAATCAGGGGTTCTTAAATAACTAACAAAAATAACTAACAATTATAAATATAAAGTAAAAAAACGTTAAATCACTTAAATCCAATTAAAATTAATATAGTCAATAATATAATAAATNTGGATAAACATTATAGAACGCACACTGGAGAAAGACCATATGCTTGTAAAGTTTGTGGTAAAACATTTGCACAGCGATTTGCCCTTACTAGTCATCATAGACTGCACACAGGTGAAAGACCATATGAGTGCGGGCTGTGTGAAAAAAAGTTTGTAACAAGCGGTAAACGTTTAAGACATACACGGAGTATACATGACAAATGTTTTTAAATTTGTTTCTATTATTAACGATATTTTAACCTATGGTAGTCTGCTTGTTCCAGTAAAGAACCTATTACGATTTGCAGCTGTACAATATAAAATTAAGGATTTTCTTCTCCGTACGGATAATTTATCGATGTGACTGAAATTTGAAAATAATATAAGTAATAAATTTAAATAATTTTTATTTCGCATAGTAATCGTGTTAAAAAATTGTTAAATTTAGTTTGTTAAAAATTATGTATTTAATATATTTCATCACTAGCTTCATTAAAATTAGACGTTTTATTTGTATGTATAAGCAATTACATTATCAATTCTGGAAGCATTTGGTTTATGAGGTTTATTATCCTCTCGACACTCATTCCCGAAAACTAAGACATGTATTCGTAATTGTCATATAAACATTTAGTAAAAATTGAAATTATTTACTATTATTAGTTTTTGAGTTATACCAAAAAAATTGAATCGTTTTGTTCAAAAACTGGTTTTGCGTAAGAATTCCCGTTATTCCTTATTTAATTGGTTTTTCCCGACGCTTGAAAATTACTGGGAATTTTTACTTTTGACCCCCTAAAGTACTACTATAGATTCACTTTCCTGCCAGAAAATATGTTGAAGTATTTTCTATAGAAAATCTATTCTACGGTTCACTCGATTTCTCATGTTGCGATTTTCCTATTTGTTGTAATTCAAAAACGACAATAACTGTAGACACTTGAAATTGACACCTTATGCTTATTTCATTAATTCATATACTTGATAAAATACAATTTTTTTTTAAAGCATTTTTAGTTCAAATGTTGTCAACTTATATCAAATTGAAATTTGAAACATGATTTTGTAGTTAAAAATGTATACAATTTTCAATTTTTTTAGCTAAAGATTGAAAATTTAAAATTAGGTTCCACTTAAACAGTTTTTTCCGTAACAAAAAAATATAAAAACTATTTAAATACGGTTATTTTTGCAATCATTTTAAGTTCGAATTTGGACACAATTACATATTAACTCAAAGAATAACGATTTTTGTCATTTTGTTGTAATTCGATTCCAGAACAGCCCAATTTTACGTACGTTTATTATATTACTTAATAAACAATATTATGAATAATATTAATTCAACTTACCGGCTACCGTATTTATAATAACTAATAACAATATAAAATATACTAGACTGACATACCGACTCCTCTCAGAATCGTTTTTCGTATTCAATGATCATGATGTCATATTATTGAATTAAAATGTAATATCATAAATTACAGCCACTTTCTAGACACCTAATGTACAGCAGAGCGACGTCCACTTCCCAGTTTTTTTAATACGAAGAGTAGATGTACGTATTAAGGGGATGTAATTATTAACCTTCTTTAATAAAGAACAACATTTATTTTATAGTGTTAAACGAAATTCCTCGCCTCCGTCCATTGCATTTGTGTTAATCGAAATGATGATTAGTGTGAGTGTGATTGTACACGGGCACTATAGGCACGAATTAAGATAAACTTGATATGGAATGGAAGAACTACTGAACATGATTAACTAAATAATTATTTTGCTGTAATTTAAACATTATTCGTGGGTACTTGAAACCTTTAATGTTTATTTTTTTATTTTTAAGCTTCGGCAACTGAGGTCATTAGCTGTAAGTTGTGGTACTGTAAGGTTTTTGGGATTGTAGGGTTATGGAACACGTGTGTGTTTGTTTGGCAGAATTTCTATTGGGCACCCGTAGGTTTCTACCATGCCCGGGTGGCGGATGGCGGCCGCTCTCTCCAGAAACCGTCACTGGCCGGAGAGAAGTGCCGCCCGTGACCGAGGTTCGAACCGACGACGGTGCGCGTTGCAACCGACGCGTTATCCACTCAGCCACTTCGTCCCCTTTTAATGTTTATTATTATATTTTATACACACAATATATTAATTGAATAGGTGCACCTAAATTAAAAATTGTTTGAACTTCAAATTAATCTTAAACAACAACTAATGGTAAGATATATTTTTATGAATTATTATAATATAATATTGACTGGGTATTTCTATATAAAAAGAATAAAGACATTTTTTTTAAAACGATTTCTTACTAATCTTTTTCTCGTATCTGGTATCGATATTGGAAAGATTGGTTGGCGGAGTTAACTAGTGGTTAATTTCACCATTCAAAAACTGAAAGGTGTAGAATTATTTTAATTATATAGGTACCTAGGTTTCGGTATATAGTTTTACCTGTAAGGATTTTTTTGTGATAAACGTATTCCTAATAGTCTTCAATAAATGAGGAGCATCTGAAAAACAAATACATTAAGGTTTCCATCATGAGGATTATCAATATAATGTTTCATATTATCCATTTTTCCAGATACACCTGAAATACTTCACATAGCTCGATTTGTCATTGCACCATCACTTATAATTCTTTCTACTCCAACACCAGCATTTTCTATTAAAAATATTGATTTTACAATAATTCTTTTTAAATCAATTCCTATGAAAGAATAAATATATATTGTAAATCTTATATAATTTAAATCTATATTTGTAAAAGGTACCTTTCACGGGTCCTTTTGATTTAAAATCAGCAATTGGCCTATGAAAACTATCAGCTAAAATGTGTATCATCAATACAAGTGCATGGCTACCTTTTTCTGGTGCCCTTGTTTCAGAACCTTCACCAAAACCCGCAATACCCAATTAAAATAACGATCTGTTGTTAAGATTTATATTTTCCTTAAGAAAAATTTCATCAAACACTAGAATTACTTTCCTTTGATAATCAATTTTACATCCAAACTTTTTTGTTAAAGAGTTAAACAAAATCACCGCCAGTTCACCAATTCACAACCATTTTTAACAGCCAATAAACGTATAGAGCCTTACCATAAGTTATACACCATACTGCAACCATACAATCTAAAGCCGTGTATAATATTATTAATACAAACTAAAAGCTAAATATGCGACGGTTACATATCAAGCATCTCGGGCAGAGACTCGTCGACATCTGCAGTAGGTGCTTCAAATAGTGTACACTGTTGTAAACTATTATAATTTATAAGATATATATATATATATATAAATGTCTATTATTGAATTATTTATACTTTTAATTGCTTGAATCGACCAATTTAATGACTTCTATTACCTATTCTAACAAATAGCAATACATTATAATATTATCATTTTGTTGGTAAATCACAAAGATACGATTCTGTAGAACTCGAGTACTCTTTTTATGTATAAGTCCGAAGTCGTTGTTATATTATATGATAAATAGGTAATATCATGTGTGATTAGCAGTGACAAAAAGGAATCATAAGACAACAACTTTCAAACAAATTGAAAGAGTCCGTGCAAAAAACAAGAAAAATCCATTTTCATAAAAAATCCGGTTCAGATAATACTTGATAAATCAAAAAAAAAAAATATGAGTGTAAGTATATATCGTTTCAAGATCCAACAAGTCAACAATTTATATATAAATGTAAGTAACTTATGCAAACCTATGTAAATATTCTTTCCTTCCCTTTTATAATTCTAATTGAAACTCATAACGACTAATGCAACGTTTAAACAGCTAGCAATTTATAGAATTTAAAGCTTGTAAGCAATTAAAGCAACCAGCTACAGCTATTTCACTATTATTTAAAAAAAAATGGCAAATAAGGTATAATCAATAAACCTGATAAACCAAAAATATACAAAAACTTGAAAAAAATATTACCTATATATGAAATCATAATGTATAAGTTAATTATGACGGCGCATTGGAGTGTATTGTGGGCCAATTTTTAACATTTTTTAAGTAAGTGGTGTCGTTGAACACCCTGCTCCCGCCCCCCCCCCCAAATGACGCCTCTGTAGGGACTGATAACGTACTTTGAAGTTGGGAGTGTCTGGTCTTTTATTTTCTGGCCAAAAATCAGATACCTAGTTTCAAGAAAATATTATTATAATGAATGAAATCAATGAATACTAATAGTTCTGGTCAAAACACAAGATAGCTTCAAAATTTAAAATTGGTTTTTTCGTTTCCTGAAAAGTTTTGAAAAATAAATTTACTTGACTTTTGCACAGACCCCTCAAAAAGAAATGAGTTGACTGAAGAACGTGAGACGTATTGAAAACAAATTTTAAAAAAAGTTACTAGTTAGTAAGCTCGCTGATACATTTATTTCAATATATCATAATACCTAATGATTGTAATTTTATAATATAAACTAGGAAATAGGTACTAGAAAAAAATTATTAGTCAGTAATATATATGCCTATTATATTAGTTGTGATTTGCATTAATTAATTCTGCAATGAAATATTAAATAACTTATTGTATATTTATTTAAATTTAAAACCAATAAGTACTGGGCCTGGTAATAATGATGATAAAAAAAATAATCACAACAAACTGAACAAACTATATACACCGGATGAAACCAATGTTTTAGTGTTATACAATATTTACTAGGTATTGCAATGCATCTATAGTTGTAAATATTTAAATCATAATAATACCTATTTTAGTATTTTAATATACTTTTTAAGGGTGCAGTAGACTATATCTACAACATGTTAACATTAGATACACCGGTACACGTATAATATATTATTAACATCAGTAACAATATTATAATATTATGCTGCTGCATTCATGACGTGTGGAAATAATATTTTTATTAAACTGAAACATTTATTTTAATATATCATAATCGATTGCGTACAGTATACCTACACTAGTTTTGAATGATTAGTTGTTTCTTTTATAGGTTTGAATAATATTGTATAATAACTAATAAGTTATTACTTGTTATGCTACTAGTTAATATTTTTAAGTCTATTTCAAGGATAATTCAAATAGTAGATAATAATATACACAACCAAACGTTTAACTCAAACGGTCCTGTGTTATAATTTTATAATAGGATTGATTGATAATACTATTTTAAATTCATCGTCAACGTCGATTTACTTTACTAGATATATAGCTCCCCTTACACTTTACAGGATCATCTAGTATTTAAGTAGGTAGTCTTTACATGATAATATGTGTAGGTATCTTTAGTGTAGATATTTCTATATTATAATATAGATGGCTGTGATCTGTATGCTTCCATGTTATAAGTAATTATCTATATATTATGTTATTAAATCTTGTCAATATTATCATCGAATGGAAACTGTTGTCACTTTTGGTTTTTATTAAAACATTTTTTAATATTGATTGAATGATCCTTAAAAAGAGACTTAGAAATGTGAAAAAAACAAGTAGGTAGGTAGTTAAAAACTATATGTATTAACCAATGTAAACAGCGTAAACAGATAAGTTTCTCG